TGTTCTAAATTTCTTTCTATTGATCTTATTTTCCTTAAACAATTTTTAGTACTTTGATAACATTATTTTTATGTAGTATTCATTTGTAATTGTCGACTCCACTTAATTGGAATTTGTCGAGCCTGACTGTCCTAAATCTTGAAACAGAGATCTCTAGAATAATTTTGAGGCTCTAAAACAGCTTTAAAACAAAACATGCACTTTATTAATTTATAACTAATGTGGTGCATTGAAATAATTTTGATTTTTAAGCAACTTCAATGTGTTTATTTTTCACTATAATTATTTTTTTTAGTAATATTTAAATTAAGTGTAAATTGCCTTATTGGTGGAAATACTTTAAAATAAATCTAGAGATGAATTTTCTTTGACTGTTTTGAAGCTTATCTTAGATAAAAGTTAAAATTTTCAGTATTTATTTTAAATAATATTTTATTTATTTATTTTTGGGTGTATTATTATTTAAAATAAATAAGTACTCTAAATACCCAAAAAATATCCATACTCATTTAACAAATAATTATGGAATTGTTTTTATATTCATTTTCACTATTTTTTGTTGCTGAAGATGCAACAAAAAATGGGTTGCTAAAGATGTACCAAAAAAAAACTTAATACCCAAATAGATATTGTGATATAAATATAAATATTAATCTTTTAAATTTTCATGACAGTGGTTATTATTTAATTATGTCTAGGTCAATCATAGAACATAATATATTTATATCATCTACAATTTCTTTTTGGTTTATTATTTTCAATAATGAACCATTGTAATCAAACAAAAAATTCAAAAACTTAACTCCCTCTCAAAATTTGAGGTTTTACATTTCAGGATACGTAGAATTCGAAAAAAAAATACAAAATTTTTGCATACCGTCCATTTTCTTCGAAACTACTGGACCGATTTTTTCAAGTTGGATTTAAAGTTAGAGATCACCCGAAGATGATCCTCCTTCATCGACATTACTATCTGCCTTTTCCTTTCAAAATGGCGGCCGAAAAATCTGCGTAGCTATAGACTAGCGGCTAAACGAATGTACCGATTTCAATGAAACTTGGCTAAAAACTTCTTCTCGATGCCCTTTAAATTTATATATAACATACTTAAACGAAAAGAAGCTGGAAAAAAGTTACGAGGGGTGGTAAAATTAGATTCCGAATAACTCAAAAAGTCTACACTTTTTTGTTGATATTTAAAAGTTTATGAAATTTCCAAAAAAAAATCGGACAATTTGGTCTCTAGATGTTTTTTATGTTTTGCTTCAAATCCTTTGTTTTGGATTTTGATTTTTTAATGTGTTTATGACTGAAGTAATGCTATTTTTTTTTTAGCAAATCACTAATGATGGAAAAAAAAATGTTTAGGCAAATAATTGGAATTAACTTTATATTTCTTTTAATTTGTCACTAGGAAGGTAATGTTACTTTAGATGTATAATTGTTGGGAAATAATAAACCATTGTGAACTAATTTGCATCGTTTTTAATTCATTGAACTGTCCTTCCATTATAGTCCATGCTTCATAATTTTGGCAAATATTGTGGTATTTGAGAAGCCTTCAATATTCCTTGTAACTCTCATTGCTATATTAGAGGGTTTGAATTACTTGTAAAGAAATTGCCTTTGAAGCCTTTAAATTTAAACTTAAGACGGCTGCTACATTGGATTCATATTTATAATGATCAAATATCGGATGAACTTTGTAGGTGGCTGACAAAAACCAAACTCCTTGATTGTACTGGTACTGGTGAAGGAACTAGTCCAGCAAGTGGGCCTATCGTGGTTCTTTTTACCAACCCCTGACAGCTACCTTGAGGTTGCCGCTGCGTACTAACCAGAGTGGGAATGTCACAATCCATTTCCCGGGGCCTTTTTGAAATGAAAAGTAACAAACCCAGGTGGGATTCGAATCCACAATGTTCAGAACAGGGCATTCCGGGAACCATGCCAAGTGAGTGACTACATTGGTTCTATATTTCGAACACCAAAACCTTACCATCCTCATCCTTCTAGATTTTTCCAAAGCGTTCGACACAGTCGACTATAAGATCCTCCTTACGAAATTGTACAGTCTTCCTCTATCCAACAGTGCCCTGCGCTGGTTTAAATCCTTCCTTTCAAATCAGTCCCAGGCCAACCTTCATCTAAGACCCTTTCCCTCTCCTGTGGTGTCCCTCAGGGTTCCTCTCTATCTCCTACTCTGTTTACTATCTACATCAATGACCTTCCCCTCATGATCCGTCACTCCCAATACTACATCTATGCAGATGATTTCCAAATATACCTGTCTTTCCCGCCCTCCGACCTATTATCTGCCACAGAGAAATTACAAGAAGACTTGGATACTCTGTTCCTGCATGATAATCCCATCAAATTTTACCCCACCGTCAAAACCTTGGAATAACCTTCGATCAAACACTTTCCTGGAAAAACCATGTATCCAATATTTCCCGCCGTACCATTTCCACTCTAAAACGTCTAAATTATTCTCGTCACCTATTTCCATTTGAAACCCATAGGCTCTTAGTCACTTCTTTAATTTTCCCCCACTTTGACTATTGCTGTTCGGTATATGGGGGCGTCTCTGGAGATCTTGAGGCGAAACTAAAACGTTTAATAAATTGCTTTGTAAGATTCATCTTTGGGATACCAAGGGACGCCTCTGTTTCCCATTTTTATGCAGAGTTGAAGTGGCTTTATCCTTCCTACCGTTGTAAATATTTCCTGGCATCCTTCTTCTTTCAAATTATCTAATCACACCGTTCTTCATGCATCTCTGAGCTCCTTCAATTCAAATCCTCTGTTCGTTCCCGTAATACTCGTTCCCGGTCTTCTGACTTATGTATAAGGGCCCACCGAACCGCTGCTTTCGACAGATCTTTCATTTTCCGATCCTCATCCCTTTGGAACTCCATCCCTTCTCACATTAGACAATCTAATACCCTTCCTACCTTTAAATCCCGTCTGTTCAATCATTTCTTATCCATCCATTCCCCATGAAATTGTAAATAGATACTAATGTAAATACGTATATAAATTATTAGCTCGTTCTTCATTATTTTTACTTCATCCTTTTTATTTAATTTTAATAATCAACTGATTAAAATTAGAAAGTAACTTATAATTTTTAATTTTATTACTATGACTGTTTAATTAATGTGTATCTTTATTTACGTATCTCTGAGGCTCCTTAGCCCATATTTATGTCTTTCTGTATTATTCTAAAGGGACTCGTCCCAGAATAAATGAAGTATTATTTTTGTTATTATTATATTTCTTATGATGTGATTAAATATGGTCATCCGAACGATTATATTCTAATTCTCGTTTATTCGCCTTTAAATATAATATATATATATAAACATACATGAATAAGCTTTATCCTATACCAACAAAAAATAATTGTTAAATTTCCTGTATTTATTTTTTCATGTTTTCTAATTAATCAATGTTAATAACGATTTTATTTATTCAATGGGTAATCCAAAAGTAATTCGAAATCTAGCCTAACAAATACTGCAATTGTAATTATTTTCTATTGTTAGCAACTGATAAATATTATTCTGTTTTATATATTAAATAACCTCTCATAAAAATAAAATAATTTGCAGTGATTTTTAATTGTTAATTGTGTGTTTAAATTCTTCTTCTTTTTTCACGGCACAACAACTCATGAAGAGTCTTGGCCTCCTCAAGACATGTCTGCCAGGCATCTCTATCCTGCGCAGCCGCTTTCCAGTTACGTACACCAAGTAGTGCACGTGCTTCCCTTGCCACACAATCCTGCCATCTCAGCCGTGGTCTTCCTACTTTCCTAGAGCCTTGTTCATTGCTCTCCATAGTTTTTTTTTTTGGATTTCATCATTTTGCATCCTCGCCACATGCCCTGCCCATCGCAGTCTTGCAAGCTTTATAATTCTTATGATATCCGGCTCCTTGAATAGATTGTAAAGCTCTGTGTTGTATCTAATCTTCCAATTCTGTTCATCGCGCACTGGACCATAGATTCTGCGGAGTACCTTCTGCTCAAATAACGCTAGGGCTCGCTCATCTCCTTGCGTCATGGTCCAGGCTTCAGAACCATACATCAGTACTGGACGAATGAGCGTTGTATAAAGCTGTGTTTTTGTGCTGCAAGAGATGAGTTTAGTTTTGAAATGCTTATTTAAGCAAAAATAGCACTTGTTTGCCGCTACTATTCTTCTCTTGATCTCTAGGTTTCCTTTGTTTTGTGTTTAAATTCAACATTAAGAATATTGTAAAACATTTTTTAATTTAATTTTTTTTCAAAGAACCAGAGAACCCTCAAATCTTTTTTATTGATATGTTTAAATCACATTTCGAGCCAACTGACTCATCATCAAGATGATTCAACAATGCAATTAACACAGATCCAATGAAACCACTCGCTTTCTATCTTGTTTTTTTAATCGGTGATGTGATAAGGTTCTCCTGTCTGTCTGGTGTATGAGAAATAAGTATAATATCTGTTTGTGAGAAATAAGGATCCAATGTGACTGAATGCCAACTCCTTAAAGTCTTGGCCTTGAAGAAATGTTTGCAGTTTTCATTTTGGTATAATTTATGAATTAATAACCTCTCTGTGGTTGGTAGTGAGATCAAGAATATCTATTTTCTCTTTTTCTTTTTTATTCTTGATTAAACAGTGGAAATGTACATTGTTGTGTCAATTTTAATTTAGTTAAACAAAAAGAAGTTGTTCTGATTAAGTGGAGTCACCAACAGCTTGGATTTATAATTTTCTTTTCTATTAACATTATTTTTTTAATACTCTCTATTTTTAATTAAAAAAAAAGGTTCACGATCAATACAATTGATTTCTTAACACATTTTAGAGCAATAGTAATGTTTTATTTAGGAAAATATTAAATAGTATAGAATATGATATTTATCCTTTCTTTTCTTAATATAATTATGTTTCAATAATTCAGATATATAATGTTTTTTATTATTTTTTTACATTTTTGTTTTTTTAGGGCACTGTTTCTCCTGATAGGTAAGCTACCCAAGATTTTTTTCTTTGAGATGAGTTATATCCTTCAAGTCGACATTTTTTTTTTCTTTCTTTTTTTAAAAATTTAAATATATAACTTTTTTTCCTTTTGAAATCAGCTATTACAAAGTTTTATTATGTTTTATTTTTTTTTTTTATTCTATTATTGATTTGTTTTTTCTTAGAAAGCTGAACTTGATAATATCAAATATTTCGTGATCTCAATTATGTTTAGTTTTTGATATCATGCTATTAGTCATAGTATCATTGAAGTAACCTTAACCATCATTGTGTTCCCATGATTTTTTCGAGATACCTCTTCAGTAAACTAGTGCGATCGTTGTGAATCCATCAGTATATGCTGTGGAAGGAAAAAAATTAATAAATAAAAAAGTTATTGTGAACACTCTAGATCAAGATGTCAATCCATCATTGTGAAGATGCATTTATTTATGAATTTAACATAAAACTCTATTTTATGAAAATAAATGTGATATTTATCAATTGCTGTTTTATTTCATCTACCTCACTAATATTATTATTATTTATATGGCAGTAACGTAATGATACATTATTAAGTTTAATTTAGGTAAAATTAATTATATAATTGTTTGAATTTATCAATAAGATAATTAGCAGGGAAAGTGGCACATTGATTCTATTATTGTTTTGAGATGAGTACATTTTAAAAACTGAAATATTTGATCTAAAAGGAGATTTGGTTTTATTTCACATTATCATTGTTATTCAACTAGAATTGTATTCTAATGTAGTATAATTAATAATAGTAACAATATAATATGAAGATTTTTGATATCTTTTGAATTAGCAGCCCTGATGAAGGCCGATAGGTTAGGACAAAGAAAATAAATATTTTTCTCTTGTGTACTTCTAATGACGATAATACCCAACCAGCTTCTCTTATAACTGGAATTATTATTAAACAAAGCCTGTTGGAACTGTATTAACATTATTATTATGCATGTAAAGAGCTTGGGACAAGAACATGATTAGCTACAATTTTTATTGAAAAAGAATTATTTGTGCTAAATCCTATTTTGTACCTCTATGTAGGTCTTTGTGTATGCACCTAATATATTAGGAGTGTAACAAATCATTACTCCAAAGAAATTTAAACTATTTTTTATGAATAACTGGACAAACCCTATTCTAATGGTCACTAGCGGATCCAGGATTTAATTTTGGGGGGGCTTCAGCCCGAAACCTTTTTTTTTTTTCATTAAAATAACGATAATTACTTTGAAAAAACAGAAAGAAACTAACTACCTATATGAAATGGTGTTTAAGTTATTCCTCAAGTACTTTTAAATGTAATTACACAAACAATAATACTTTAAGAGGTATTTTTTAATTTTTTTTCCCCATAAAACATGGTTATATTTTTCAATTTTGGGGGGGGCTTCAGCCCGAAAGCCCCCCCCCCCCGTAGATCCGCCCGTGCTAATGGTGGGTAGTATTTAATAGGAAAAAGTTATTTTATTAAAATAAATTTGTCTAAGGATAATTGTGATGATTCTTCAAATATGGGTTATCCTGGTGAATATAAGAACTGACAATCTGTAAACTAAGTATTGTTATTTACAGAACCCATGAGTTCTATAAAACGTTATGCATATCTTACAAATGTAAGCTTTTCTACTATAACTGATAAAATAAAGTTTTAGGAACTATTAGCTGAATAATTATTAACCATTTTACTTTCACTTATGTATATATGTAATATATAGTAAGTGAAGTATTGCAATCATGAAAAATTTTCAATCTGAGTTCAACTGAAATAAACCTTTTGGGGTACCCCCAGTCCAAATAACCAAGACCTAAAAAATAGTCTATGTGTGTATGTTAGCAGTCTAGCTCAAAAACGAAAAGTCTTACAAGATATTAGGTATATGCCTTAGATGTGACAGCAACTTTTTCCTTAAAATCGGCTAACGGGAAGTGCTACTTTATATCGCCGGTGAAACACATTTTTGGAATTTTCTCAAAAACGCCTGTAGTTAAATGATTCTATAGCTGATGTTATATTTAAATAATTAGGTGTCAACGTCTATTTATAACGACATATTGTAATGTAACTTTTTAGAAAATTAAATTAATGAATAATTTGATGAATCTTCCCTTTGTGATATTGCAACAGTATCCACTACTATTTCATTATAATTTTGAGAAAAATATTTCATAGATACGTTTATAACCTCAAATATATATTATAAAAAAAAAGCCTGTACCACTACAACCCATGGAGGGTCTTGTGCACGGGCGGATCTACGGGGTGGGCTTTCGGGCTGAAGTCCTCCTCCCCCCCCCCCCCCCCCAATTGGTGAAATATAACCATGTTTTATGGAAAAAAATATTAAAAAAGTATTTCTTAAAGTATTATTGTTCGTGTGATTAATATGAAAAGGGCTTTAGGAATCACTTAAACACCATTTCATACAGGTAGTTAGTTTCTTTCTTTTTTTCAAAGTAATTATCGTTATTTTTATGAAAAAAAAAAACGCTTTCGGGCTAAAGCCCCCCAAAATTAAATCCTGGATCCGCTAGTGGCAGCAGCTAAAGATCTAGTAGTAAGCAGTGCGATGTTCCTGCATAAGTATACCTGGGCAAGTCCTAAAGAAGTAAAAAGCCAAATCGGCCATGTGCTGATAGACAAGAGACATCAAAGCTCCATACCACATAAGAAGTTATCGTGGAGCAGACTGTGATTCGGACCATACTCTGGTTAGAATCAAACTCTGTCAGAGGCTGAAGCGAATCCACCGAATTGGGGACCAAGTGGAAAGAAAGAGGTACGAAGTCTGTAATTTGAAAAACCCTATAGTACAAGCTGAATTTCAAACAGAGCTGCAAAATAAATTCGAACCCTTGAACGCGGAAAGCCTCACGGTTGACCAACACTGGGAGGCACTAGAGTCAGGGCTAAGACAAACAGCGAAGGAAGTATTAGAGATTCAGGAAAAAAGAAAAACCGAGAAATGATTCACAGAAGTATGCGAAAAGGCAGTGGAGAAGAGACGAAAAGCAAGAAGAAAAGTCCTCTGCTTAGGACAAACTGATCGAGCAATGCTGGACATATACACATCCGTCAGTAAAAGGATAAACAAAATAATAAGAACAGCCAATAGAGAATTCCTCAAGGAAAGATTTAAAAATATAGAGGAATACTGGCAGGCTAGAAATATATTCGAATTCTTCACAGATATCAGGAAAGAAAGGGTATGATATAAAGCGAGGAATACACAAATGCGAGGGAAAGATGGCAAATTGACGGCATCAAAAGAAAAGATCCTAAGCATCTGGAAGGAGCACTTCCAGCAGCTGCTAAATCAAGGGCAACCCACAAACTAAGAAGACAAGGGCCACACTGAGGACATCGATCCACTTGAGATTGAAAAATCAGATATTCTGGATGTGGAAATAGCTATTGACAGACTTAAAAGAAGAAAGGCTCCAGGGATAGAGAACCTACCATCAGAATTGTTCAAGGATGGCGGAGAGGACCTCAGAGCCAAGTTGTTAGATCTAATCCAGAAGATATGGTAGAAGGAACGGATACCAGAAGCATGGAACACAAGGTTGATCTGTGCTATTCTTAAGAAGAGCTCCATGTATGAATGTGGCAATTACAGAGGCATACACCTCTGCACACCACACAGCACTTCTTCCCGTCGCCTATAAAATAATGACTAATATTCTGCTAAATCGGATATATCCGTATTATGAAAACATAATAGGCGACAATCAAACAGGATTCAGGAGAGGGAGGAGTACGCTAGATCAGATATTCATCCTAAAACAAGTACTTGAAAAACGATGGGAAGTAGATCAGGACGTACACGCATTATTTGTCGACTTCAAAGCAGTCTATGACTCCGTGGACAGAAACTGTCTCTGGAAGATCATGACTGAGCTGGATGTTGCCGGGAAGTTAGTGAGGTTGACGAAGGCATGTACAAATGATCTTAAATGCAGGGTACTAATACAACGAGAAGTATCTGAAGTCTTTGAAGTTCGAACAGGTTTGAGGCAGAGAGATGGACTCTGTAATTGGTAATTGGTTGACTGTCGTGGATAATGAAGAGAAGAATAGTTGGGGTGCTCAGTCAAAAAAGGAAGGCAAAAATAAATTATAATATTTATTTTTTACATATGCCGACGTTTCGACCTGAAGTTCAGGCCATCATCAGGGCTAAGAAAATAACCAGATAACAAGGTATGAGAAACTTAAGTAATGATGGTAAAAAAGATGATAAAAAATGAGAAAATATAATAGATTAGATCTAGATAAAATAGATCTAAATAAAAGAAAAATAAAATAGATAGATATAAAGAGATGGACTCTGTTTTTCCAAAGTAATTATCGTAATTTTTATGAAAAAAAAGCTTTCGGGCTGAAGCCCCCCCAAAATTAAATCTTGAATCTGCTAGTGGTCTTGGGTGCAGTACTATGTGAGGAAGTACTGTTACAAGGCCAACGGTTGTGCGGGGAGGTGACAGGCCAATATCACACTCAACCGCAAATATATATTTACTGTAGTTTAATAACTCTAGATCTGATATTACATTTAAATATTTAGGTACCTATCGTGCGTTTGTTCCGAAAAATCATCATGCTTTTAGAAAAGTTCGATGAAATTTCCTTTTGTGATATTCGAACAATGTCCCCTTACAATTACTGTGACAACTTTTGACTTGTCTAGGACAGACAATGCAAATCTCTTAATTTCGTTTTAGTAAACTTTGCAATGGAAAATAACAATTTAATAACTAACAGTCGCACAATCCATAATCAACGGATCATACAGTACATAATCAAGCAGTGATATAATAAAAGCAGGACTTTTATTATTTTAATATTAATTACAATTTTTTTGCTTTAGCTAGGTTAAAAATGCAATTAAAAAAATTTATAATAGCCCAACATGGCCAGAAAAAAATTCTATTCAAAGCGGTAAGTGAAAGTTATGTTGCACTCACCAGATTTTTTAGTGTAATTTTCTCATTACTGAGAATTAATTTCATTTAAAGTGTGCTTAAATAACTACCACTTTATTTGGCATTTGATATTTGTGCTGATTTAAACTTATAAAAGAATGTCAGTGGGTCATCACTGATTTTGACTAAATTTCTTTAGGTTTTGCTGAGAAAAGTGTTGGACGCTTGGCCCAGCATTCATTCTAATGTTCCTTACACAGTCAATATTATTGAAGTAATACGGTGTGGATCTAAAGGAGACCTCACCATTTGTTATAAATTATATATATATATATGTATATATATATATATATATATATATATATATATATATATATATATATATATATATATATTATATATTTAAAGGCGAATAAACGAGAATTAGAATATAATCGTTCGGATGACCATATTTAATCACATCATAAGAAATAAGAGAGGAGTTCAGGAAGAGACACCTACAGGGAATATGCCACTACAGGACCTCCAGATTGATACATTCACCTGGA